GGAATTCTGATATAAAGCTGGTTTCACTTGGAATTCAAGTGAGCTTCTGGTTGATTTTGAGTTGTTTGTTTGGTTGATGATTTGATTTTTTGTTTTTGTTTTTGTCCCTTTGAACCTATTCACCCTCTCTTCTATTTATAGAAAAATGTTTTCTGGAGCAGGGTAATTTTTTAATAATGGGCGGCAATTTCTTAAGAAAGATCTTTTTAATTTTAAAACACAAGAAAAAGGAATTTTATCTAATTTTTTGGCAATCGAGCTCTCAATAGTCACTTCTCTGTCTTTGAAAGAGAACCTAACTCCTTTCTAATCCAACTGCCCTTGTGAGATCTCAAACCGTGATGGTTAGCTTGATTTCCTGTTTGAACAACTCTCTGCCCTTCTGCTTATCTTCTTCTTTAAATAACAAGGCCTACTTATCTCTTGGGACAATCACCCTATTTGAAATAGAGAAAATATCTCTGAATATATAAATACATGTAAAAGAGGATTTTGATCTTCTAGTGGCAGAAATTCAGAGAAGTCCTTTTGCCACTGACCTGCTTTAATTAATTCTCAATCAACTCAGTTGAGTTTGTTGACTTTTCCATTTTGGTAGTCACGTGGGTTCTGAAAACGGGTCTCTTCCTTTTTTCTTTTAATCATGCTGGGCCCATTCTGATTTGTCTGGAGCCCAAAGATAACTGCTTTTCTTTTGGGGGCCCAAGTTTGCTTGCCACATTTTGATGAGTCTTGGGCTGGGCCTCTCTGGACTTTGGGTTTTGCCTTCCGTTTTGCAAAAGCCCAAACTGCTTAAGTCCTGTAGCTTTTATTCTGGGCTTTCTCTGTGTTGGGCTGGGCGCGTTTAATTTAGGCCCAAACAATGCCCCATAAGTCTGAATTGTTTTTGGAACGGTTTCAGATTTAAATGATTTGGCCATTAAATTGGCGTGTGCCAGTTTCTTCCGTTATCCCACCTCTGCCATGTCTTCCCACTGAGCTAGAGTTCGTGGGAAACTGTTCAGTTACTAGCTCTTTACTAGCTAGTCATTTATCAAATGACGCCCTGTCTTTTCCACGTCCCTGTCTTCTCTTTCCCACGTTTTCGAGCTTCCTTAAAAGAAATTCGAAACCCACTATTCCTGTTCATCCGAAAACCTAGTATTTCAGACCTTGCTCCTCTGAGCTTCTCTTCGAAACTCCATCCCTTCCTTGCTAGAACCCGCCTTTCCTGTCAACTTCTTTTGTTTCTTAACAAAAACAGGCCTGAGAAATGTCTTCCCCAAAATTCCGTGCTCAGTCTTCCTCTGTTTCAGTTCCTCCCGATTACATTATTGGGACTGGGATTGACAAACATGCGATAGAGGTTAGGAGCAAGCTCCATCCTTTTGCCCAGAAGAACCTAGATGAGAATGTCCTTCATCTGTTCGAGAATACCTTGGTGTTGGGGCCTCACTGGTTTGGTCATGTTCCTCTCGAGATAGCAGAACTGATGAAGAGGGATGCTGAGGCTCCCTTATGTTTTGAGAGCACTTCTGCCCTAGCTTCTCATTCCTGGGTTAGCAAGAATCTGAGCCGGTCCTTCCCGTCCAGCGAAGTGAGAAACAGTTCAGTGAAATGGGTAGACTGGATTGACAGGCTTCTTCCAAGATATGGACCTCATTGGAAGCGAGCTGGTATCTATGATGCCATACTTCTGTCCAAGCAGTCTGTCAACAGAGATGAAAACCTGCTTGCTGCTGCCTTGTGTTTCTGGAATTCTGCCAGTAACAATTTTCACTTGCGCATAGGCCCCATGGCTCCAACTCTGCTGGACATGGCTCAGATTTTTGGGTTTAGGCCCCATGGAAGACCTGTTGATGCTGTTGGTGATTATCACAGGAGGAAGAACCAGCATAAACTAGCCAAGCCATTCACCATCTCTCTAGCCCTCATCAACCAGAACTGCTCCTTCTCCAATTACCTGAGGAAATTCAGTGCTGAGAAGGACAAGGACCA